ACTTAGCTTTGTTTCTTCTTCTTAGAGTGAAGTACATGTACTGGGTAAAAAGGCTGGCAAGCTTTGCAATAAAAAGAGAGTCTCAAGGACTTACAGGGGTTCAGATCAATTTAGTTCTTTGCCAGTGGTGTGTTTGCCAAGGAGGAGCCAGCAGCTACAAGAAGACAGCTAGTCTTGGCATCCAGGACATTTTCTCTTACTCTTCATGTTGCCTTTGAACATGCTATCCTTACATTCCTCTATGCTCTTGTAATATCTGGCTGATATTATTCCTTTAGAAATTTCTTTTGCCTTCTATGACACATGAATAAAAAGAAGAGTAACTCCTATCACACACTTATAAAATTGTGCTTCATTTCTTTCTAGAACTTTCCTGAGAGTCTTAGCTGTCAAGAGCCTTTCATGCCTCCTGATTTACTACTTAAAAGCCATGTTTACATTTTAGTGACATTCACTAAGGCTGATTCATCCGCTAAGGTTTTTTTAGTAACTGGACCATTATTTTACCCTCTTGAATATTGTACCATATGACAGGACACAGTAAGGTTGTTTTTAAATTATAGAAAAGGATTTTGAGATTTCAAAGGATATCTTTTTTCAAGATTAATATTGAGAAAGCAAAAATTGACCCAGTTCACAATAAAACAGAAATGAGTCTGACCAATTTTGTGTTTTCCTACTTTACTAATTTATTACCCTCTTTGAACCTGTGATCTAGAACTGGTTGTGTCTACAAAATCAATAAGGACCCTTCATCCTTTATCTTTGACCCTTCTAAGAAGTTCCTGCAGGCAGACACCTGCAGGTCTGGTTGGCTACCCAACAGCTAGGAACAAAAGTACCCTACCACGGGCTAGATCAGGGTTACTCTAGGCCAGTTAGGGTAGCTCATTCACCTTTCCATATGGTCATCCACCTTTCCATATGCTCACCCTTCCAACATTCTTTGCAACTGGAGGTAGCATGTGACAGAGTTCTAGCTAAAGATAGTTAAGTGAGAGTTATCTGAGGTCTTCTGGAAAACCTTTAGATGCCTTACAAGATGGGAAAGTAGAAAGGAAGAGCTCACGAATACCACTTTCTCTCCCATATTCCTACCTTGATCATGTATGCACTGTCTGAAGTTTCAGCTGCCATGTGGCCATCATGCAGTGATAATCATGAAGCCAAACAGCTGACTGGGGTTGGATCAACTCTAATCCAAGGGGTTTGAGATCTTGTTGATATCCTTAAGCTGCCTAACCAAACCTGAGATCACTTACTTCTAAATTAATTTTTAGGTAAATATTAAATGTCCATATAGCTTGAGTCACTGTTAATAGGATATTTTACTATTTGCACTAAAAAGAATTTCTAACTGATACAGACCCTTAACCCTATCCCTGCATTTTGAATTCTTTTCCTTCCTAGGCTTTCCTTGGAATACACCTGGCTTGGTTTTTTTTTGACTATTTACTTCTCAGTTTTATCCTGTACTATGTAAATACCTCTTCCCTTTTTTAAACAAGTGCTTGTTCAGTTCTCATCATTGGTAGGTCAGTCCTAGATTCACAATCATCTCTTAGAAACTTAACTATCTAATTTATTAAGGTTTCTGGAGAGCAATTTCTTGATGGGAAATATGACTAAAAGTTAATGCCAAGTGGGTCCTCATTGTGCATAAACTCAAGACTAAGTCTCCAATAATTTGATTTTCATTTTACCTTTTTAGTCACCTGTTTCAGGATCTGCCAATATGAGGCATCAAAAATAACAGAAAGCTTTCAGTGGGCCATTCTTGTTCAAAGACATTGACTAGGATACTTCATGAATAGCTAGATTTAAGATAATTCCTCATTTCAGGTCTAGGCATATTTAGGAACGTAAAGATATCAATGTTTGACAGGGAGAGCTCCAAGCAAACGAAAACCAAATCCACGAAACATTACCCCCAAGGATCATAGATGTCTCAATAAAAGTGCAATATTTTATTTCTTTGAGGAGGGTTACTTTTTTCTTTTTTTTCTTTTTTTTTTTTTCATTGAGACAGAGTCTCGTTCTGTTGCCAGGCACCAGGCTGGAGTGCAGTGGTGCAATCTTGGCTCATGGCAACCCCTGCCTCCAGGGTTCAAGCAATTCTCCTGCCTCGGCCTCCTGAGTAGCTGGGGACTACAGGCACGCGCTAGCACGCCCAGCTAATTTTTGTATTTTTTAGTAGAGATGGGGTTTCACTATGTTAGCCAGGATGGTCTCCATCTCTGGACCTCGTCATCCACCCACCTCGGCCTCCCAAAGTGCTGGGATTACAGGTGTGAGCCACTGCGCTCGGCTGAGAGGGTTACTCTTTATAAGGGTATCTAGATTCTCGACAACTACTGATGTCCCTTCTTCCTGCAAATAAGCAGAATTTTCAAAACTTGGAAACCATTTTTATCCCATAATGTATATTTTTAGAAGTATGTTGAATGAAGGGAGGTATGATGGACTTTGTGAGGCTTTGCCCCAACCTCCTTCAAGGAAGGAAGTGTTTGCTGCCTTAAAATCTTAGCCCCTTCAAGGATTGCCTCTTTAAGCCAAGGTCACATTCCTTAGCTTATATCTGAGATCCAATGACAGAATGATGATGATGTGGAATACAAAGGCCTGGCGATATGAGCCAAGGTGGGAGTGGGAGGTTAGTTGGCAACTTGAAGGAACATTCTAACTCCAGAGCCCTTTGTGGGTTCAGCTGGGGCTCTTCTCCACAGGTGTTGATCCTTAATAAACATCCTGCTTCCATCTCAGAGTTTACTTCCTGTCAACATCAAACTGCAAAATCAGGCATATTGTGATCGCATAAATGCAGATTAAAAAACAATCTCTAAGTACAGCTATTTCCTTAACTCAGTATTTGCTAAATCATTTGACAAGTTATACAACAAATTTACTAACGTTTTCTCTCGCCTTTCTCTTCTTTCAGGACGGTACAGGGTATTCTGTAGACTGCATGAAGTAAAAGACAGCACTTCAACAGTTAGAAAACAGTGGAAGGAAAGTGAATTTGATTTGAAGGGCTATATGCCACCATCTGACATGGAAAATGGTCATTTATAGAATAGGTTTCTGGTTATTCCCTATTTGTTGCCCTAAACTCATTTTCCACTCTCCTCATCCCTGCTCTGTGCCCCAGGAAGTTGGCCATTACAGACGACATCACCCAGAACTCTTTGTCTTCATTGGGTTCAGCCACTGGCACCTATCCCCTCCATGTTTCTCCCTGTTTCCTGAAGAGACTGTGGTTTCCCATCATGGCACTAGTCATATTGCTTCTCTCCCACTGCTCAGTGTCACATCTGGGACCTAAGACACTGTGCCCTTTCAGGCCTGGGAGCTAGTACCCTTTTCCTAGCTCTGGGTTCTTCACCATCTTTGGTTGGTTTCCTTAACTATATCAACCCTCTTGTATATAGACATTATTACGCTCTTCCTGGTTATATCGTTTTTACATATGCCATCCCTTTCTTTCCTGAACCCAGAGGAAAAGTTTATTTTTTAATTATATAATACTGATTGATAGTTAAAATAAATAACTCAAGAGCTGCCAGAAAAAATAGAGTACAATGAATTTCTAGGCATGTATATTTTGATGGAAACACAAAATCAAACCCTTTGCTTTCTATACTTGAGCAGCAGAAGTAAAGACAGAATTTCGGTTTCAGCAAGAGACATAAGAAAAAAATGAAGACTATGTGGTAGCATGCCTCATTTCATCAAAATCTCACTTTCTTTACATAATAGAACTTTTTTCTGAAATTTATTTTTTTGGTTAGTTTAATTTGAGGGTTCAAAATATGAAGACTGAGCATTTTATATTTGAAATACTATACTATTAACCAGTGGCTATCTTCTTTGACAACAATTCACAAGAAGAAATATATTTTACATTTTGACCAGTATGCATGTCACTTATGTCTTTGTGTGTCACTAAATGACATTTATATTTATGATGGATGATATAATCTACTGCCCTAAAAAGTACAATATACACTATACTTTCATTCTATGCTATCACATTTAAAAAATAACTAGTTAGGGGTCACTAAATAAATTTCATGGCAATATGATGGTTGCTACTTGAAATGTAAAAAACACTGCTAAACAATTAACTTTTTACTAGGAAAAAAAAATCAAATCCATGACATAAAAATGGATTCCCCATCCTTTTTTATTTTTAAATTACTTATATAAATGTGGTCTAGTGTAGATGATAACAAAAGTATCAACTAAAATTTGTGTTTTATTGTTCAAGAAGAATTTTCATATTTACTCATATAATTTAATAGCATAATAACCTGGTCAAATAGATAAGGCTCTACTTTTCATTCCTGAATGAGAAAACAGGGGCTGAAAGAGATGAAGTGATTTGCTCCTCCTCACACTGCCAGACAACGCAGACTTTGGTCTTTTGAATGAATTCCTGGCTCTTTTGACTGCTCTAGGTTGCCCAGTAGGTAGTTAGAATTAACCAAATCATAACTGACAAAGCAGATAACTTCAGTTGTATAGTAATAAAGATATTTGCCTCTTCACTTTGCCGGGAAATCTTGAAGGTAGATTGAGGTGTTGAATGTTTTCAAACTCAGAGTTCTTAGGGGAAAGTTATTAGTAAGTTTGACCAACATCAAACTTCTGATATTCTCATTTTAATACATGTACTGTGCCTCTATCTGTCATTAGCTGGATACTGGAATGGCCCTCTTCTTTCTTTTTGTCTTCCCAAATCCCAGCCCCTTCTTCTCTGTTTTTTTTTTTTTTTTTTTTTGAGACAGAGTCTTGCTCTTGTTGCCCAGGCTGGAGTGCAATGGCACAATTTCGGCTCACTGCAACCTCGGCCTCCCAGGTTCAAGTGATTCCCCTGCCTCAGTCTCCTGAGTAGCTGCGATTACAGGCATGTACCACCACACCTGGCCAATTTTTATATTTTTAGTAGAGACAGGGTTTCTCCATGTTGGTTATGTTAGTCTCGAACTCTTGACCTCAGGTGATCTCCCAGCCTCAGCCTCCCAAAGTGCTGGGATAATAGGTGTGAGCCACTGCACCCAGTCCCCAGCCCCTTCTTCTATACCCAAATCAAGTTCCTTCTCCTCTAGGGAGCCTTCTTGACCACTCTTGTCTACCTTGTCCCCTTTCAGTTTTCTAAATTCTACCATCATTTATATACCACCATAACATTTAGCAACTGATTACGTTGCCTTGTTATTTGCTATGATTTTGTGTTAGTTTTTTACTCCTAATTACACAATAAGCTCTCTCAGAATAAGGGTAACAAAGCCTTTTCCCTAGCCCTTAGCACAGTTTGGCATACCTAGCTGATGTTTAAGAAACTGGTTAATTCACACCAAAAATCTCACCCTGGGCACATCACTTTATAATCAGGAAGGAAACCCAACTCCTAACTTTATCTTCTTAGAAGTTAAAGGGTTAGGACCACACATATGGCACCTTGACTTTTATAGCTCCTCCCTGAGGGACTTGCTTCTTATATTATTATGTTTTCACACTGCTATAAAGAAACTATCTGAGACTGGCTAACTTATAAAGGAAAGAGGTTTAATTGACTCACTGTCCCACATGGCTGGGGAGGCCTGAGGAAACTTACAATCATGGTGGAAGGTGAAGGGGAAGCAAGGCACATCTTACATGGTAGCAGGAGAGAGGGAAAATGAGTAAAGGGGGAACTGCTAACACTTTTAAAACCATCAGCTCTGGTCATAACTCACTCACTAAACCGTCCCCATGATCCAGTCACCTCCCACCAAGTCCCTCTTTCAACATGTAGGGATTACGATTTGAGATGAGATTTGGGTGGGGACACAGCCAGACCACAGCGCCCCCCAATTCACCTAGCTCTTGGAGGAGATAGGGCTCAGCATTTGAAAGTATCCCTGGACCACAGAGAACAAGGTGGCAATTTTAAACAGGTGTACAAGCACTTCCTACTCCAATTCCCTCAGGCTCAGTACAGAGTGAACAGGCAATATTGGCCAGCTCCTAGTTTCTCTCTGGTAGGGGTTTTACTGCAAACTTTCCCAGATGCTGCCCAAGGATTAAGCTCAATCTAGTCTAAAACTGGGAGCCTGGTTTTGATGTGGTTTGTTTGGCCCCACCAAGCCTCACGCTGAAATTTCATCCCCAGTGTGGGAAGTGGACCTTTTGGGAGGTGTCTGGGTCATAAGGGGGATCTCTCATTTAAGGCTTGGTGCCCTTGTCTGGCAGTGGGTGAGTTCTCAGTCTTAGTTTCTATAAAAGAACTGATTGTTGAAAAGAGCCTGGCACCTTCTCCTCTTTCTTTCTTCCCTTCTCTCTCGCCATGTGAACTCTCCATGCCAGCTCCCCTTAACCTTCCAGCATGAGTGGAAGCAGCCTGAAACCCTCACTGGAAGCAGATGCTAGCATCACGCTTCCTGTATAGTCTGCAGAACCATGAACCAAATAAACTTCTCTTCTTTATAAATTAACCAGCAACAGATATTTATTATAGCATTACTAAGTGGACTAAGAGCCAATGGGGCAGGTAATTAGTAAGACCTCTGGGAGCCTGAAAGGATATGTGGGCACTAGTGTGTAGGCATTTCCTATGCCTTCTCCCCCAGTTCAAGCCAATGATAAAATCAGGCATCTAATCTCTCCTGTCCTTGGAAGAGTTTGTCCATACATTGAGCACCCCAACTTATACAGCTCCCACCTGAGAGATTGGCCTTAAATCACCTAGCTCTGGGAGCTAAGGGGGTCTGGCATTTATGAGTGCCCAAGACCACAAGAAACAAAGAAGTGGTTTTAAATGGGCTCAAGTGCACAACCAGCAGCTAGTTTCCCAAACTCAGTGCAGACTGAGCAAGCAAAAAAATCCAGCTCTCAGTTTCTCCCTGGATGGAGTTAGACGACATACATAATATTCTGACTTCACCAGCTGCTGCCCATGGATTAAGCTATTAATTAGCCTGCATCAGGGAGCTAGAGCAGGCAATTAGTAGACCTCTGGGAGTCTGAACAGGCATGAGGGCATTTCCTCCTGCTCTTCACTCCAGAAACATAACCAAGTTTCCAGTTAATTCACTTATCCAGGACAGCTCATGAGAACATGCCACTTGCTAGACCTCTAGGGGTGAGAGAGCAAAGTAAAGGTTTAAAGAGTGCATTGTCTTACTTAAATAGAGCACAAGCATTTGCCACAGATCCTCTCACCGGCTTACTGCCCAGTGAGTGAGGTATAAAGCCCAGCTCCCAGCTTATCCCTGTGCAGACAGGAAGATGGACCACTCAGCTAGAGCCCCAACATGTCTAGCTGCTTCTTGAGGGACAAGTTTCTGTCTTGGGTACTAACTTGGGACTTGGGACACCCTAATCTACTGAGGGCCACTAAGAACAAAACTGGTGGTTTGAATAAGCGCAAAAGTTTAAGCGGCACTTCAAATCTCTGGTCAAGTTGGTAGGTGAGGTACCTCTGCTACACAAAGCCAATCTGACAAGACCGGGACAGATGGCTACTTTATGTAATTTAAAGAAAACACTAGATAATCAAGGAAAATAAAGAAATAGGAAAATATGTTTCAAACAGAAGAACAAGATAAATCTCTATAAATTGATCCTAAGGAAACGGAGGTAAGTGATTTGACCAATGGAGAATTAAAAATAATGGCCATAAAAATGCTCACTGAGTTTATGAGAGCAATGCATGAACAGAGTGAGATTTCAACAAAAAGATAGAAAATATTAAAAAGTACCAAACAGAAATCATAGAAATAAATAATACAATAAATAGACTAAAAAACAATAGAGGGGTGTGATATTATTTTGTCCACAGTTCCTGGCTCATAACTCCCTTAGCTCTTATTACAGTTTTTTATTATAATGCTGGGGTGCTTTAGACATTAGAAGCAGGCCTCAGAAAACAGTATCTCTCTCTCTGACCTTCTCTTACCCTCTATTCACCTATTACTTTTTTTCCATACAGCAGGCAATAGAAACTAAAAATACACTTAAGTCTTCCCCTGCCTCTGGCCATAAAGAAATTCTCTGACCTACTTTGTCTGATTGTAGGTCATAATATTCTCATTTCAAAAAAGGTCCTGCCCTATTTCCTGGAGAAAAGAATGCTGCAGAGAGAGACTAAGAAGAATCTGAACAGACAGGCCTTTCTGGGTTTTCCATTCAGTCTGGTAATGCTAGCTAATACCCTTTTTGTCCAATCACATTTCCATATGATTGTTAATGATGACTATCCAATGACAGTCTCCATAAAAGGCCAAAGAGTATGGGATTTAGAGAGCTTCTAGGTAGCTATACATGTGAAAGCTTACAGGAAGGTGAACAAGAACTCATCTACATGTCGGAAAAGTTGTGCACCCCAACTCCACAAGAACAGAAGCTCCATCATGACCCTTCCTGACCTTACCCTAGGCATCTCTTCTTCTGGCTGTTTATTTCTATCTCTTAAAATATACTTTGTAATAAACTCGTAAACATGAGCAAGTGTTTTCAGGTTCCATGAGCCACTCTAGCAAATTAATTGAACCTGAGAAGAGGGTTGTGAGACTGCCACTTTATAGCCAGTAAGTAAGGAGTACAGGCAAAATAACCTGTGGTTTGCAACTGGCATTGGAAGTTGGTTGGGGAAGACAGTCTTGGGGACTGAGTCCCCAATCTGTAGGATGTCCCAGTAGAAGTGATGGAATTGAATTAGATGACACCAAACTGGTATCTACTGCAGAGCTGATTGCTTACTTGTTGTGCCGAGGAAACCAACTTTTCCCCCAACACACATTTTGTCACAGAAGGCTTTATTATTGATTGTTGTTGAAGTGTGAGAGCAGAGAAAAACCTACTTGTTTGTTTTTACTCAGAGGGATTCAAGAGAAGACTGAATCAAGCAGAAGAAAAGATAAGCTAACTGAAAAACAGATTATCGAAGGTTATCTAGTCAGAGAAGCAAAAAGAAAAAAGAACGAAAAGAAGTAAAGCCAGCTTAAGGGAATTGTGGAATACCATCAAGTGAACCAATATACATATTATGGAATATACAAAAGGAGAAGAGAGAGAGAAAAACATTCAAAAAATAATGTCTGAAAATTTCCAGTTTGGGAAGAAAATAAACATCCAGATCCAGGAAGCCCAAAGGACACCAAACAAGATGAATCCAAAGAAACCCACACCAGGACACATAATTGTTAAAGGTTAAAGACAGAGAGAATTTTGAAAGCAGCAAGAGAAAAGTGACTTGCTATTTACAATGAAATCTCTGTAGTATGATCAGACATTGCTTCTGCAGAAACTTTGCAGGCCTGAAGGGAGTTGGATGATATATTCCAAGTGCTGAAAAAAGAAAAAAACCACCAACCCAACAACCAAGACTGCTATATCCAGCAATCTTGTCCTTCAAAAATAAAGGCTAAAGAATCTCTCAGACAAACAAAAGCTGAGAGAGTTTATCACCTCTAGATTTGCTTATAAGAAATGCCAAAGATAGCTCTTCAAATTGAAACAAAGTATCAGAGTAGGGAACCCACTTGCAAAAAATAACATAGAATACTGTGTTACTATAATAGTGGTAGGTAAATATGTTCATTCTACTATAAAAATTAATAGACACAAGTATTAAAATAAGTATAACTCATTTATGTTAATAGATACATAATATAAACAGATGTAAATAGGGATGTTAATAGCATATGTAGAAGAAGAGGTTAAAGCAGAGAGTTCATATATATATATATATTTTATTGCACTTTAGGTTCTGGGGTACCTGTGCAAAATGTGCAGGACTATTGCATAACTACATACATGGTAATGTAGTTTGCTGCCTCCATTACCCTGTCACCTCTATCTTGCATTTCTCCCCCTGCTATCCCTCCCCAACCTCCCTATACCCCCGCCCCCCCCCCCCCCACTGCACCTTCCCTTTTCCCCTCCAACAGACCCCAGTGTGTGGTGCTCCCCTCCCTGTGTCCATGTGTTCTCATTGTTCAACACCTGCCTATGAGAGAGAACATGTGGTGTTTGATTTTCTGTTCTTGTGTCAGTTTGCTGAGAATGATGGTTTCCAGATTCATCCATGTCCTTACAAAGGACATGAACTCATTGTTTTTTATGGCTGCATAGTATTCCATGGTGTATATGTGCCACATTTTCCCTGTCCAGTCTTTCATTGATGGGCATTGGGGTTGGTTTCAGGTCTTTGCTATTGTAAACAGTGCTGTAATGAACATATGTGTGCATGTGTCTTTATAACAGAATGATTTATAATCCTTTGGATATATACTCAGTAATAGGATTGCTGGGTCAAATGGAATTTCTATTTCTAGGTCCTTGAGGAATTGCCACACTGTCTTCCACAATGGTTGAACTAATTTACACTCTCACCAACAGCGTAAAAGTGTTCCTATTTCTCCACCTCCTCTCCAGCATCTCTTGTCTCCAGATTATTAATGATCGCCATTCATAATGTGATGTGAGATGTGTGAGATGGTATCTCAATGTGGTTTTGATTTGCATTTCTCTAATGACCAGTGATGATGAGCACTTTATCATATGTTCGTTGGCCTCATAAATGTCTTCTTTTGAAAAGCGTCTGTTCATGTCCTTTGCCCACTTTTGAACGGGTTTGTTTGTTTTTTTTCTTGTAAATCTGTTTTAGTTCTTTATAGATTCTGGATATTAGCTCTTTGTCAGATGGGTAGATTGCAAAATTTTTTTCCCATTCTGTTGGTTGCTGGTTCACTCTAATGATTGTTTCTTTTGCTGTACAGAAGCTCTGGAGTTTAATTAGATCCCATTTGTCTATTTGGGCTTTTGTTTCCAATGCTTTTGGTGTTTTAGTCATGAAGTCCTTGCCTATGCCTATGTCCTGAATGGTTTTGCCTAGGTTTTCTTCTAGGGTTTTTATGGTGTTAGGTCTTATGTTTAAGTCTTTAATCCATCTGGAGTTAATTTTCACATAAGACGTCAGGAAGGGGTCCAGTTTCTGCTTTCTGCACATGGCTAGCCAGTTTTCCCAACACCATTTATTAAACAGAGAATCCTTTCCCCATTGCTTGTTATTGTCCGGTATGTCAAAGATCAGATGGTTGTGGATGTGTGGTGTTGCTTCTGAGGCCTCTGTTCTGTTCCATTGGTCTATGTCTCTGTTTTGGTACCAGTATGATGCTCTTTTGATTACTGTAGCCTTGTAGTATAGCTTGAAGTCAGGTAGCATGATGTCTCCAGCTTTGTTCTTTTTACTTAGGATTGTCTTGGCTATGCGGGCTCTCTTTTGGTTCCATATGAAGTTTAAGGAGGTTTTTTTCCAGTTCTGTGAAGAGGGTCATAGGTAGCTTGATGGGGATAGCATTGAATTTATATATTACTTTGGGCAGTATGGCCATTTTCACAATATTAATTCTTCCTAACCATCAGTATGGAATGTTTTTCCATCTGTTTGTGTCCTCTCTTATTTCCTTGAGCAGTTGTTTGTAGTTCTCCTTGAAGAGGTCCTTTACATCCTTTGCTAGTTGTATTCCTAGGTATTTTATTCTCTTTGAAGCAATTGTGAATGGCAGTTCATTCTTGGTTTGGCTCTCTGTTTGTCTGTTATTGGTGTATAGGAATGCTTGTGATTTCTGCACATTGATTTTGTATCCTGAGACTGCTGAAGTTGCTTATCGGTTTCAGGAGATTTTGGGGTGACATGATAGGCTCTTCTAAATACACAATCATGTTGTCTGCAAATAGAGACAATTTGACTTCTTCCTTTCCTAATCGAATACCCTTTATTTCTTTTTTTTGCCTGATTGCTCTGGCTAGAAATTCTAATACTATATTGAATACGAGTCGTGAGAGAGGGCATCCTTGTCTAGTGCCAGATTCCAAAGGGAATGCTTCCAGTTTTTGCCCATTCAGTAAGATATTGGCTGTGGGTTTGTCATAATAGCTTTTATTATTTTGAGATACATTCCATCGATAGCTAGTTTATTGACACTTTTTAGCATAAAGTGCTGTTGAATTTTGTCAAAGGCCTTCCCTGCATCTATTGAGAAAATCGTGTGGTTTTTGTCTTTGTTTCTGTTTATGTGGTGGATTACGTTTATAGATTTGTGTATTCTGAACCAGCCTTGCATCTCCAGGATGAAGCCTACTTAATGGATAAGCTTTTTGATGTGCTGTTGCCATTGATTTGCCAGTTTTTTATTGAAGATTTTTGCATCTATGTTCATCATGGATATTGGCCTGAAGTTTTCTTCTTTTGTTGAGTCTCTGCCAGGTTTTGGTATCAGGATGATGCTGGTCTCATAAAATGATTTTGGAAGGATTCCCTCTTTTTGGATTGTTTGGAATAAGTTCAGAAGGAGTGGTACCAACTCCTCTTTGTATGTCTGGTAGAATTCGGCTGTGAACCTATCTGGACCTGGGCTTTTTTTGGGTGGTAGGCTATTAATTGCTGCCTCAACTTCAGCCCTTGTTATTGGTCTATTCAGAGTTTCGACTTCTTCCTGGTTTAGGCTTGGGAGGGTGTAAGTGTCCAGGAATGTATCCATTTCTTCCAGGTTTACTGGTTTGTGTGTATAGAGTTGTTTGTAGTAATCTCTGATGGCAGTTTGTATTTCTGTGGAATCAATGGTGATATCCCCTTTATTGAAGCAGAGAGTTCTTATAAGCAAAGGAAGCTCAGTTGCTATCAGCATGAATTGGACAGTTACAACTCTAAAATATTTTATGTAAGCCCCTTGGTGACAACAAAGAAAAAAAATATAGAAGTTACTTGGCCAGGCTCAAGCCAGTAATCCCAGCATTTTGGGAGGCCAAGGCAGGCAGATCACTAGGTTAGAAGATACAAAAAATTAGCTGGGTGTGGTGGCATGTCCCAGCTACCCAGGAGGCTGAGGCAGGAGAATTGCTGGAACCTGGGAGGCAGAGGTTGCAGTGAGCTGATATCGCATCACTGTACTCCAGCCTGGGCCACAGAGCGAGACTCTGTCTCAAAAAAAAAAAAAAAAAAAGAAATTATGCAAAAGAATAAAAACTTATCAATATAAAAAAAAACCCAGAAAACACTAAAGAAGAGAGCAAGAGAAAAAAGAATTAAAAACAAATGGAAAACAGTTGACAAAATGGCATTAGTAAATCTGTCCCTATCAATAATTACTTAAATTGTAAATGGACTAAACTCCTCAATAGAAGGATACAGAATGGCTGAATGGGTAAGGAACAAAGATCCAACTGTATGTTTTCCACGAGAAATGCACTTTAGATCTGAGTACGTACATAAACTAAAAGGAAAGTAATGGAAAAAGATATTCCATGCAAATGGTAGCAACCCCCACCCCCCATTTTCATGGGAGATGTGAAAATGTAGTTCAAATGGCACAAAGTAGCAGTTATGAAGGATGAATAATTCTGAGGATCTAATGTACAACATGTGGACTATCATTAGTAATATTGTATTATATACGGGAAATTTGTTAATAGAGTAGATTTCCGGTACTCTTACCACACACATAAATACAAAAGATAACTATGTAGTAGATGGATTTGTTAATTCGCTTGACTCTAGTAATTATAAAAAACATTATGTTGTATACCTTATATATATGCAGGAAAAAATAAAACAATAATTTAAAAAGTACAGTTAGTAAAGTATTAAGAGAAAAAAGAAATTGGTTAATTGTTAATAAATGCCAGATTTATTTTTATACTATCAGTTGGTTTCCCTCCCTCCTTCTTTTTATGTTTCTAAAATTCTCAGACCAGAGAAGGTTTTTGAATTACAAATCCCATTATAAACAACCCTTGATACACAGTAAGTTTTCATTAAATGTTTATGAGATGAATTGAAAAGTCGAATGAAAGATAAGGAAGATAAAAACCAGCACAACTGAAATAATAGCAGGTTCTTTAGTACTTGACATCAAAGGACAATCATATTCTATATCTTTAATATAACATAAAATTATAATAAATCATTTTATAGTTTAGCAATTAATGTTAATCCTGTCCAGGATGAGAGAAAGCAGAGAACTAGTAGCAAAATTCCATTTGTATTAATGCTTTAATAAGAATTTGGAAAATAACAAACTTACGATGTGTTTTGAACTGCATTTTTTTACTTGGGACCACTGCTTCAGAACCACTTAAAAAAATATAACTATTTTGGGTCAGGATCTCTAAAATTCTTTTGGAAACACTATCCTTAAAATAATGGAGTGAGATTCTTTTAAATACCTGGGTAACAGTCTTCATGAACAGATTAAAATGAAATAAATTAAGGAAAAAGATTTATACTAGTAATTATGTAAATCACAGTTTAAGACATCTGATTATTCACTGTGTGGTAAGCACCATAGTCTTATAGATTTGGGAAACAGAAAGGAGAGGACGACAAAAGAGACAGAATTCTAGTCCTCAAAAAAGCATTCTTTTCTGAGGTTACAATAAAATGTAAGAATAGATTTCGCTCGTAATCCCAGCACTTTGGGAGGCCAAGGTGGGCGGATCATCTGAATTCAGGATTTCAAAACCAGTCTGACCAATATGATGAAACTTCGTCTCTACTAAAAATACAACAATTAGCTGGGTGTGGTGTCATGCACCTGTAATCCCAGCTACTCAGGAGGCTGAGACAGGAGAATCACTTGAGCCTGGGAGGCAGAGGTTGCAGTGAGCCAAGATCGCACCATTGCACTCCAGACTGGGCAACAAGAGCAAAACTCCATCTCAAAAAAAAAAAAAAAAAGAATAGATTTCAATTTCTAGTCACAGAATGGTAAAAGTTTGACAATCTAAAACTATGTGAATATGAAAACAATTTCTGTAGTGACTGAGTTACAAGTCAGCAAATATTGGGATATTGGGCTAGAGCATAGCATGGCATTAAACTCCACTCTTTAGGTTAGGACTTCCTTAATTCTGAATCAGTCCAGAGATTTTATTCACAGCCTGGGGTAAGCTATAGGCCAGGCGTCACACCCTAGGGGCTAAAGGCAGAGTTGATATACATCTATTGTCACTGGTACAGCTGCTGATTGTGATCACTCTGGTGTCCTGCCTAGATCATGTTCAATGAAGGATTTCGTGTTTCAGATGCTGCAGGTGATCCAGGCCAACATCTTTCATTTCTTACTCCTTTGATGGATTGCCTCAGTGGCAGAGGATTGCCTTGCTCAAGAGCAAGTCTCTTCCAACATTCAATGAGTGATGTATGTCAGAGTAGAATGGCCTGGCCATCTTGATCCCATAGGAAACAATTATAAAGGAGCATTCCAGCTCCAGAGCTCTTCATGGAGCCATTTGAGGCTGACACCCAGCTTTGCTTTGCAGCTCAACTTCTCTCTCTGCTCATTCTTGCTTCCTTTCTCTCTCTTCTACAGATATTGATCCTAGTGGCACCCCTTAATAAATGTCCTACATGTGAATCTCCACCTCCAGGGTCTACTTCCTAGAAGATCCCACTGTGCCATAGGTTTTTAAACACTATAAATACTTCCATGCTAGCTGGTAAAAAGCTAATGACCCATGCCTCTCAGCACCTCACTTACCAAAATCCCTCCCCAACCTCTTCCCTGGGACTTTCTGCACCTTCCCATGATCCCATAACTAAAAGAGTGATGTCTAGCCTAACAGAGATATGCTCCAGGACCCTGTTATGGTGCACAAGTCTGGTTCCTTCTAACTGTTTGGTGCCCATGCAATAACCGTTATTTAATGTTTTAAACATGACCTTGGTATACTGAAGCCAAGTGAATAGCAAAAATGGCTGAAGCACCCTGGAAAGGGACTGTGAAAAAGTAGAGAATGTTTGCCCCACCCAAAAGGGGCAGCAGCTACTTAAGTCTAGCCAACTGCTCAAAGAATGAGGCCCAGGATTGTCCCAATAGCTAAAAAAAGCAGGACACAAAAGTTCGTTGTTGTTAAACTCTTCAAATTTTAAAAAATAACCAATTCAACTTCATAAAAATGTGGTGTGGGGCAAACCACATGCCTATGAGCTAGATTTGGCTCACAGGAATCAGTTCATGACCTCTGTGATAAGATCTCTTTGGTCTACATGACCCTAGGAGGCCAATTCCAGAAGGACATTTGGAAGCTTGCTGGTTTTTAACGTTTCTGCCTAATCTGACATCTGTGGAAATGTAGAACCACCTGCAATTTATGCACCCAATCAGAAGACCAGGCTAGGGTCAAGAAGTTTAACTTAA